TAATCCAAGCATTCATATGCTGCCTTTAAAGTAATACAAGTCAGAAAATATCAGACGACTTAAGTAGTCTGGTAAGTATTCTACGTAGAATACTTATCAGACGACTTACTGGTAAGTCGTCTAGTAAGTCGTCTACAAAGAAGTCTTATCAGCAAATCATCTAGTAAGTCTTCTACGTAGACAACTTAACGGTAAGTCGTCTAAGTAGAAGACTTACCAGACGACTTACTGATAAGTCATCTATAAAGTGTTCTACGTAGAATACTTACCAGACGACTTACTGCTAGAAGATATAAGTCATAGCAGAAGACTTACACAGTCTTCCAGCCAAGATAAGCAGGTCCGGAGGGTGTGATACCACTTAGTTGGTGCTGTACATGGTTTTTGGTCGAGAGGTGTGTTATACAGACTGCAAACACAAAATGTTGTAAAGCAATCAATTTTGTAGACTAAAGCAAGCTATTATGGGGAAAGAAATCACTTGCGGATCAGTTTTCAACTAGTCAACGAGCTCCTTCAACTTGTTCATGTTAAGTGGTGCAAAAGGATTATAGCACCACAGGAAATGTGGGTATTAATAGCATCGTAGTATAGTGTTTTTAACATATATGCTATTGTATACCAACACTGGAATTTAATCTCAAATTTAATTATTTAAAAATATAATCTCAAATTCAAAAAATCTAAACCTCAGACACTAAATCTAAAACTATACTCTAAATCTAATACCCTAACCCCCAAACTTAAACCCTACATGTAAAGTATTTATTCTAATCTAATATTTTTAACATCAAGTCGTAAATTTAAAAGATCCTAATTTTATACTATCCAATACTTGCAAAATTTCTATCTTAACCTTTTATTCCATATATCTAAACTATAAAACTTACATATATATACCTCAAATCATACATTAACATAACTTTACATCTCAAAATACTAAATCTTAAATCTACCCTCTATATCCAATACCGTATAGCCAAACTTAAAATCTACACAAAAAAATCACAAATCCAATCTTTACAAACTTATAATTTAAATTCCAAGTATATTCTAAAACTCAAATCACATACTTAATCCTAAATCTCAACCCTAGCCCCTAAATCACATATCTCATTTTAAACTTGTAATCATAAAATTTTAATTATAAACCAGAAAATATAAAATTAAATTAAATATACACATACAGCCATTATTTAAAACTAAATATTTTTTCCAATAAATTAAAGATATGGTTATTACTAATTAATTTTAGCTTAAGAATTTTTTTTTTTGGTCAAACATTACTTATATTACTCAAACGAAACATAGTTTATCCTTCAAGAGAAGGAGACGAAGAAGCAGCCATAGCAAGAGCCGACTTTGCCACACAGTCGGCCTCCGCATTGTACAGACGAGGAACAAAGAGAAACGACACAGAGTCAAGAACAGAGCTAAAATAGAAGATATCAAACAATATCCCAAACAGAGAAGGTCTTGATGTCTTGGTCTTCAACATGGAGATGAGGACTTTTGAATCAGATAGTACCGTGAGGGATCGAAGGTTTGAAGATGCAGCCTTCATAACTGCCGAATGAACAGCAATGGCCTCCTCCATTAGTGCTGAGGAGATAGAATGTTGGTGGAACTTGATGTCCTGGATAGAGGGAGAGACGTTCTTGAAGATACCACCCACACCGCAGGTACCTGTGTCCTAGTTCCAAGCCGCATCGACAAAGCAGTGCGGTCCTAGAGGTAATGGTGGAGTGGGAGCGTTTGCTTGCACAGGAAGCAAAGGTCGGAGGCTTGATGAGATGTGCTCGTACGCTTGGGCCACCTGCCATTCCTTTGCATCCATAATGGATTTGCATACCACCTCTTGAGCTGAAAAATATCTGTCATCAAAGCACAATTTATTACGAGACTTCCATAGATTCCACAGTAACCAAGGCCATAACGGCACAAAGAGACCCACGGGGGGTAGAGTAATCATCCTAGAACTGAAAATAATGAGTTGGGCGATCGAAGGAAGCATGGTATCAGACTGCCACACTAGTGGGGACTGAGCCCACACCTCCATAGCAAACGGACACAAAACTAAAACATGAAGATCATCTTCAACGCCTCCACAGCGTTTGCAAGCAAAAGGCGAGATTCCCCGGCTAGCTAAGTTTGAGCTGACCGGGATTGCTTTTTTAATAACTTTCCAGAGAAAGTCTTCAATCTTGGGGGAATTTTTCAGGTTCCAGATATGCTTGAGCCAGTCGAATATCCTGTTATAGTAGAATATTCGCCTGAAATGTCTGGGAGCCACACGATGGAGTCAGCCACCGGAGCAGAGCTAGTGATAATCTTCTGAATAAGGCCCTCATACTGAAGGAGGTGTGTTTGGATGCGAGCAGGATCCCATGAGTTCGAGATAGGACATAGGAGGTCGCAGACACAAAGCATGGAGTTGTGTTGGTTAGGGGGGCCGATTGGCACCTTCGGAGTGATGCAAGAAAGCCATGGGTCCTGCCAGACCCTTATGATTTCGCCATTACCAACAACCCAACTCAGACCCTTTTTAAAGAGATCCCGACCAACAAGAATACTGCGCCACCCATGCGAGGCCACCAAGGGGAGTTCGCAATCGAGGAAGGTTGAGTTTTTTGCGTACTTTCCTAATAGAACCTGGGCTACAAGGGAGTTTGGCTCACGGAGTATCCTCCATCCTATCTTGGCAAGAAGGGCGTCATTAAAGTTTTCGATATCATGAAAACCTAAACCGCCCGCATACTTTGGCTTTGTTAACGTTGACCAGGCCATCCAACACATTTTCCGCTTCTCGGGGTTAGCATCCCACCAGAAACGAGTAAGTAGAGACTGTATTTGTTTACACAGTGAGGCTGGAAGTTTGAAGCATGACATGGCGTAGCTCGGCATAGCCGCCAAGACCGCCTTGAGGAGCACCTATGTCCCTGCTCCGGAGAGAAAACGCGTCGTCCAGCTATGTATCTTCTGTCTGATTCTATCTAAGATTGAAGCAAACACATATCTCTTTTTCCTTCCAATAAGCTCGGGGAGGCCAAGATATTTCCCCAATCCTCCTTCCATCTCAATCTGTAAATCGGTTGTTACTCGCGTCTTTACTTCAGGTGGTGTGCGGGCCGAGAAGATCACAGAAGACTTCTGGAAATTAACGAGCTGGCCCGATACTGCTTCGTAAGTACTAAGGATTCGCTTCAGTTCCTTTACAGCCGCCACACTTGATCTACAGAAAAACATGGTATCATCCGCGAACAACAAGTGATTAATTTAGGGACAACCTCGAGCGACTCGGATACCGTGGAGTGACCCTTGTTCCTGTGCCTTAGAACAAAGGGCAGAGAGCACCTCGGTGCATAAGATGAAAAGGTATGGAGACAGCGGGTCTCCTTGTCGTATGCCACGAGAGGGTTTAACGTCACCAAGGGGGGATCCGTTAATTAAAAAAGAGTAGGAGACTGATTCCACGCAAGCCATAATCCAGGATATCCATAATGGATCGAACCCAAACTTCGAGAGGACCATATCAAGGAAGTTCCATTCTATTCTGTCATAAGCCTTACTTATGTCGGTTTTGACAACCATAGAACAGTACTTTTTTTGCCTCAGACGTACGCAGAAAATGGAGAGTCTCGTGAGTAATTAGGACATTGTCTGCGATTGTGCGACCAGAGACAAAGGCGGATTGGTTCTTTGAGATTAACTCTGGGAGAAGCGGATTAAGTCTACGGGTGACGATCTTCGCAATGATTTTATAGTGAGTGTTGCATAACGCGATTGATGGTACTGCGCAACTGTTCTCGGGCTGGTTCCTTTGGGGATCAATCTGATATCGGTCTCATTTTGTCGGGGTTCCAAGACACTAGTCTCAAAGAACCGTAGCACCTCCCTGGAGACGTCATCACCAATGATATTCTAATAAGCTTGGTAGAATTTTGATGAGAACCTATCCAGACCAGGAGCCTTGCCACTATTGATCGAAAAAACTGCCTCTTTGATCTCCTGGGCACATGGCATTCGAATCAAATGGGCATTCATTTCATCCGTGACCTTTTTAGGGAGGAGGTTTTGGCTGGAGGAAAAATCAGAAGCACTCTTGGTGGTAAAGATGTCTTGTAGTAAGCTTCAATGACCTTAGCAATCTCGCCTTCTTCAAAAACCTCAGCCCCATCGCTAGTTTCAATAACCGCAAGGGAGTTTTGCATTCTCCTTGTTCTAGTTGCTGCGTGGAAGAACCCCGTGTTTCGATCTCCCTTCTTCAGCCATTGGATTCTGCTTCTTTGGAGCCAGAAGTCTTCTTCTTCTTTGTACGCTGTCTTAATCAAATGGTCTAGCCGGGATCGGATAAAGTGAGTGTAGCGAGTACCTCTCCAAGAGAGGTGGTTACCCGAGTGCTTTAAGTCCCAAAGCCCATTTTGCGAGAAAAACGTTCGAAATTTTGTAAAGGATCCTTCCCATCGGTCTGGGCCACCGCATTTCTCTGAATTTTCCAAAATATCGTTGAAGTCTCCCGTAAGGAGCCAAGGTTGTTCACGCCCTGATCCCACTCTTGAGACATGATCCCAAGTAGCTGCCCTGCTTTCAACAAGCGGAGCGCCATGGATAAAAGATATAAAGGATGAGGTTGCTTTGAAGGATACCTTTGTGTCGATGATATTTGGTGAAGACTCCAGAATTTCGATATCGATGGTATCAGTCCAAAGGAGAGCGATTCCTCCTGCTGCTCCTATAGGCGGTACCGAGAAGAAGTGTGGATAATGGAGATCCCGGAGCTTGTCGTCGTCTTGGTTCTTGGTCTCCATAAGGAGGATGACATCTGGGAGAATAGTTTTACGTATCTCCTTTAGTCGACGAATTGTCAAGTCACTCCCCAACCCTTGACAATTCCAGCTCACGAGAGCTAAGGAAGAGGAGGAGCGGGGGACCAAAAATCCGATCCTTGCACACTCTTCGCCGGTTTGCGTGTTCCACGGGGCTTATCGGTATGGGGGACGTTACTTGGTCCAGCCTTATTGCAAGGTAGGTTCTTACTCTTCCCGGTGCAAAGGCGCTTTTTAGGTGGGTTTAAAGACCTTGCTACATTGGCCTTTTTCAGCTTAAGGCCTTGGAGAGGGCTTCTGGCCACTCTTTTCCTAACCACTCTTGTGGATTTCCTTTTCGCAGCGGAGGTAGCAGTTGTGGCATTCCCAGTCGGATCAGTTTCAACAGGAGAAGTTTCTGCTGCAAGCACAGCCAAGCGTGTTTTCTCACTGCTACTAATTAAAGCAATTCCACCAAGCCTTAGAGCTGCTGGGATTCTGCTCCTTTCAGAAGAGAGGACTAGAGGAGGTTCCACGTTAACATCAGTGGAGGGAACAGGAATAACAGGGATAGCTTCTGCAGCAAGCAAAGCTAAACGAGTTTTCTCTCTGCTGGAAATTGAAGCTAATCCTCCTAGCCTGTGCGACACCGGAGTTCTGTTCTGCTCAGATGACAGAACCATAGGAAGATCCAAATAGCCCTCTGAACCGGGAGCATGTATTACAAGGCTATCGTGATCA